GGCACAATCCCAATGACACCAATGGATTGAAGGTATGTTCTGCCCTGGTGGCCATGATCACAATGATACCAATAGATTGAAGGTCTACTCTCCCCGGGAGGATAGGAAGGGGGGTCACAATCCCAATCCCAACGGACTGAAGGTCTATTCTCCCCTGGGGGCCCATGGACACCAACTTTTATTGTACGAGTATAAATAATTTTTTGTTACTGTTGGGGCATAGAAGATTTTGGGAGAATTTACCAGGCCGTGGATCGCTAAGGTTGAGAACTTCTTATCTAGAGTGTCCCCAGAACAGACATCTACATCACCTTCAGTCAATGAACAATGCAGCATCCAGAATACCAACCAACCATATACACCAATGGCACCCGTTCCTCACTCACTCTATTGGTTGTCCATGAAATGGAACTTTCTTCCAAAATTAGCCTGCTGACCTTTACACACGTTGGCTCTGGCTATAGAGACACCTGCTGCCCCCTCACATTCCCTCCCGCCCCCTTTGATCCTCCATAAACACCCAACATTTACCTTACAACCTCTGCTATTGTGCTATTGCCTTGTGCCATGCAGCTCCCAGTCTCTGGAGGTCACTTTCTGGACCAATCACAAAGCCAGCATTCCTAACAATGTCCAACAATTTTTCTTTTTGGTTTGGATGGAAAGATTAAGGGTAAGAACCCCTGTCAGGTTTTACCCAAGCACCCATTAGAGAGATTTCTCCTCACTTCCTCTCACAGTCAAAACAGTGTTACCAGATAGCCAGTGTGGGAAGTAAATATCTGACAGGGGTTCTACCCATCCCCAACCCTAATACTAAAGAAAATCATCTTTACTTCTGTCTGTGCTGCTCTTACATATTCCCCTAATGCTGCTGAAACCATAAAACTGTTGTCACTGTGACAGGAAGTGAGGGGAGATCTTTCTAACGGATCCCCAGATGGCAGAATAACCCTGCAGGGGTCCTAACCCTTCCCCATTCCATTCAAAACGAGAAAAGTTTTGGCTAGACATACATTATAAATCCAGGCAATACACTCCCAATACTCCCACGCTGCACGAGGGCCGATAAGAACCCTCTCTGCTCCATAAAGCACCTAATAGGCATTGATAACATATAATTGTCCTTATTCATAGACTGCTCCTTGGGAGATCGGCGTGTTAATCAGAATATATTCCACCTCTAACAATCACTTCATCTCAGCGCACATCTGAACAAAACACTCATTACATAGTAACATGTTTTATTATTTCTGATAAAAGGCTTTTTATTGCCTCTGGCTGGTGTATGAATATGGTGATTAATGTTCAGTATGAATGCTGCGATGTAGCGAGTGTTGGAGGTGTAACAGAGTATATTCCACAGTGATTACATTGTAACAAAACAGCGTCACACCTAGACTTGTGCGCCGTCAAAAAATTTGTTCCGTTTCATTTCGTAATATCAATTATTTCGTAATTCGTGTCGGAAACTCAATTCGGATTTGTACGAAATACGGATTTTCGTTAGTTTCGGCGCATTTTCGGAACTTTACGAACATTCGTTATGATGAGGTTAAAAAGCAAAAATACCTTTGTTAATATCGGAGTCGATGCGGTAGTTGTTTTTTTTATCCGAAATACGAATTCCGTTAACGGATTCCGGATCCGAATTCCGTATTTCGGACTTAAAAAAAAAATCTTGTCATGTTGTTCAACCTCATTTACAGGGGTAATATTAGTTCCCGTTTCAAAGAAATTCGGATCCGAAATTCGTTAACGGAATTTCGGATATAAATTCGGAAACTGCAATTCGGATTTCGGATGCTTACGAATCTACGAATTTCAGGAAAATTCGTACGAATTTCGATTCGTAACGAAACGAATCGCAGCAAACATTATGTATCGGAAGCGGTGAAGAATACAACATTGTATACAAAGTTTAAAGATCTGAGCGTCTCCTATAATGAGCGGGTGAAGCCTTGGCGGAAAAAGGTTCGGGGATCACAAACCTAACCCAACTTCCCAGAAACTTCCCAGAACCCGGAATATATCGGGATGCGGTCACTAGACATGTGCGATTAGTTTCGTTCCGAATCGAAAATTCGGACGAAATTTCGGAAATTCCGAGACTCGGATGTATCCGAATTCCGAATTACAGGTATAACGGATGCAAACGAATCCGAATTTCCGATTCCAAAATTTGTTAGCGGTAGTTTGTACGAAATTTCGTTTGTTGGATGAAATTTTCGTTGCAGCAAAGTGACGTTTGAGAACAAAAACCCTTTTTTCAGTATTGGTTTATGTAAAAAAAATCTGAGGGTTTAATGTCACTTTAAGTGTCACTTTGCTGCAACGAATGAACGCAACGCCCAAAAAACCCGAAATTGAAACGAAATTTCGTTTAGACTACCGCTAACGAATTTCGTCCGAATCCGAGTTACGAAAAACGAAATAACGCAGAATCTGAAACGAAACAAATTTTTGCTGTTGCGCATGTCTAGCGGTCACTAAAGAAAGAGAAAGCCTGGCTGATAGCAGCCTGTATGCAAAGCTGAGCTCCGGGATTGTTGTGGATTTTGGCCCCTCGCTCCCCGCTCTTTACTACATTAAAAACAGAGGTTTTCTTCAAACTTATTCGTTTTTGATAAAAGTAGCTTTTGATCATTCGTGACATCATCGCGTTCATTTAGAAATCGCAGACACCTGGAGGAGGAATCAAGCAACCAGCCGCGCTGCTTCCACCCACTGTGCACAGTGCCGGCACAAACTACAATTTCAGACATGACATTAGAATTGTAGTTCTCAGTGGGCGTGATTGTGGGCGGGTTTGTGGGCGGGTTTGCTGATAAACCTCGGCCTGCCAATCATTGTCTCCTCTCTACACCTGTCAATCAAGCGACACAATGTCAGTGGGCGGGCAGTTCAGACCAGGAGCGTGAGTGAGACCCCTCCCACTGTGCAGACGTAATTATGTCACTGAAAGCTGAACTACATAAAGGATATTACAAGGCTGGTGGCCGGGGGTATAGCGGGCATAGTGGTCACCGGTCTTACTGAGCGGAAGTTATGCACATTGTCTCCTTTTATGAATGACTCGTGTATTGAATTCTCTGTACCTGGATAACTACATGAACACCTTCCTGACCGGCTCATGCTGGACTTTAGAGCTTGGCCGCCGCATGCATGCGTTCGCTGTATAGCGCTGGAAGCACACTCACAGATAATCATAATGATCACATGATCGGGACAATCTGGTTGGTATAGATGCGGCTCGTTGTTCAAATGTCCCTTAGTAAAGACAAGTTTAAAGGCTAACCTGTTAGCCTGTATTTGTGGGAGGAGTCTGCTCCCACCTCACGCTCCTAAAACCCCGCAGACATGCTCACCTGGGCACGGCGAGCTTCAGCATGACCCTCCCACCCGTTCCCTTCTTTCACAACATCGTACGCAGAGTATGCCCACTTATTGGCATTACTGGACCACGGCACACCTCGGGTCAGTATGTTGGGATTTACATCTTACACACAGGTCAAGTGCAGGGGTGTATCTACTGCAAGGCAAACTAGGCATTTGCCTAGGGCGGCACTTTCAAGGGGGGGGCGGCAAAAAAATGCTTCCCCCCAAACCAGTTAGGTAAGAGAAAATAAATAAATTATTCATAAATTACTGTCAGTACTCCTGGACCTGGTGCTTCTTTGACATGGGGGACCAATGTGTCCACCTATGCCGCCTACTCCTACATATATGCCGGCTGCAGCTCCTTCCTCTTCCTGGTCAACATGCTGTGCAATGTATTAGAGATGGGGGCGGGGTGCTCGGGTTTACCTGGGCACGGCGAGCTTCAGCATGACCCTCCCACCCGTTCCCTTCTTTCACAACATCGTACGCAGAGTATGCCCACTTATTGGCATTACTGGACCACGGCACACCTCGGGTCAGTATGTTGGGATTTACATCTTACACACAGGTCAAGTGCAGGGGTGTATCTACTGCAAGGCAAACTAGGCATTTGCCTAGGGCGGCACTTTCAAGGGGGGGGCGGCAAAAAAATGCTTCCCCCCAAACCAGTTAGGTAAGAGAAAATAAATAAATTATTCATAAATTACTGTCAGTACTCCTGGACCTGGTGCTTCTTTGACATGGGGGACCAATGTGTCCACCTATGCCGCCTACTCCTACATATATGCCGGCTGCAGCTCCTTCCTCTTCCTGGTCAACATGCTGTGCAATGTATTAGAGATGGGGGCGGGGTGCTCGGGTTTAGTATTGCCTTGGGCAGCACAAAACCAAAATACACCACTGGGTCGAGCGGACTCCGAACACAAGTCCATTGATCGTATCAGACCGTACAGAGAAATAATTCATCTCATTTGCTTCCTCCGGTGTCGCTGCGCAACTTCCACGCACAATAACAGCATTCAGCGACTCACCTCCAGCACTTTCCCCGTGATGAATTCGTGGCACGCTTCGCACTTCACCCCGAACATAACCTGATAATCCTTTTCACAGTACGGAGAGCCATCCCTGAGCAGGAAACAGAGAGAGAGCTTAGAACGCTTCGGAGGTGCGAAATCTCACCTATATTAACTCACATAGCACCAACATCGGCCGCGGCGCTGCAAAAACGGAGGACACACGGCAGCAATAATATGTTATTACTGCAACTGCTGCCGCTCGTATGTATATGTGGGACAGCATGGAGTTTGTCCTTATTCCGTGTTGCTCAGTGGCACACCCCCAGCATTTTTTTTATTTTGTCAATTTCTGTGAATTTACTTTATTTATTCGTTTTTAGCACAAGATGGAACGTGCCTTCAACATTAGGGGGTTGCTATAGTGTTACCATCCACCACAGCACCGTACAAACCAGGGCCGGATCTACTCCCCCTGCCGCCCCAAGGCCGGGTTCCACAATACGCACCCCCCCTTCCCCCGCG